GAGGAGGAGGAGGAGGAGGAAGAGGAGGAGGAGGAAGAGGAGGAGGAGCCCTCGCACGTCGCCGGGCGGTTCCGAGCGAAAGGTGAATGGGAAGAGTCGAGGCTGGCGCGGTTGCATATAGCGCTGCGGTCGGGGCATCATGTCAGGATCGACGAGCGCACCCTTCTCGCTTCCTCGCTCTCCCCGCCATGTTTTACCCTCCCCCTTTGCCACCGCCTCTCCCCTTCCCCGGCTCTTCCTCTTCCTCCTCTTCCTCCTCCTCCGCCTTCCTCCCTCCCCCTCCCCTCCTCCTCCCTCTTCCCTCCTCCTCCTCCTCCTCTTCTCTATTCTTTCTCTATTATTTGTTCTTTATTATTCTATTATATCTTCTATTCTCTTATCTTATCTATATAAGTATCTTCTTCTTCTTCTTAGTCTTCGTATTCGTTCTTCTTCTTTCTTCTTCTCTTCTTCTTCTCTGTTATCTCTCTTATCTCTTCTCTCCCTCTTCTTCTGCTTTTCTTCTTCCTCCTCCTCCTCCTCCTCCTCCTCCTCCTCCTCCTCCTCCTCCTCCTCCTCCTCCTCCTCCTCCTCCCCCTCGGTACTTAAGTGCCACGTCGTGCTATGCCATGCTACGCTTTGATCTTCAACGCCATGCTATGCAATGTTATGTTCGGGGCCGCTGTGCGATGCCATGCTTTGCGTTGCAAAGCTTTGTGATGCAATTAATCACTACGCTTTGCGGTGCTCTTCTACGCCATGCCACGCCGTGCTCTACAATGCATCGCGTACCCTTTCGGGATCATTGCCCTGCTCGACATCCGACTGTGCGAGTAGAGAGGGGATCTACGCCATGGTAAGGGATAGGAGGGAGGGGTCGGATGCAGATATGACGCGAGCGTACCTAGCTTGTCCCCCTCCCCCTCCCCCTCCCCCTCCTCCTCCCTCCTCCTCCGCCTCCTCCTCCTCCTCCTCCTCCTCCTCCTCCCTCCTTCTCCTCCTCCTCCTCCTCCTCATCCTCCTCCTCGTCCTCCTCCTCCTCCTCCTCCTCCTCCCTGCAGGGATGACGCCTGGTGCCCGCGCCCCAGGGGAGGCTGTGCAGGCCGCCCCCCTCGGGGGCCCGCGGCTCCGCGGGGAGCCCGAGGGTCGCGCCGCGGAGCGCCGCTGCCTGGGCGATGCGCCGGCGAGGCTGGCGATGCGCCGGGGACGCCCGATGGAGCTGCGGAGGGGCAGCGATACAGGCCCCGGAAAGAAATTGAAGGGGCCCAGGGACACACACAAATAGATACAGGGCAATGTTTAATACATGGGATTTTTAAACATATAGGATTTTAATACATGATAAATTCATGAATTCATTTATGCATGAACTCATCGTTGTTTTTAATACTGAATCCCTCCATTTTGAATACGTGATCCGCACGCGGAGCATGTATTAAAAACGGCACTGTAGGCACAACTAACAGGATTCCCCCATATGTTCCTGCATTTTCTGGGTTTTCGTCTTCCCCCCCACTTCCCATAATTTCCCATATTTTCTGGGAATCGACGATTAATTGTGTCTGTGTGTTTCCTCCCCTCCTTAGATGCGCTGGGGACGCCGGATGGAGATGCTGAGGGGCAACGACACAGGCCTCGGAAAGAAATAGCGAACACTCATGCCACATTCATCTGTCAACGCCTCCCCCTCCCAACAATGTTCGAAGGTGGCGGTGGGCCTGATGAGTTGCACCTCGACCGCAATATCCCGCGCGAGTGCCAGCTTTGAGTTTGGGGGGCAAAGGGGGTGCTCACGAATTGTTTCCCTCTACCGCAGGCGGGGACTGGCAAACGGGGGGGACGCATCGACCTGGAATCGGCGATGCATCGCCGACAGATCGGCGATAGGCCTCCGATAGCGAATCCGCACCCTCCTGGGCAGGCCGGGGCCATCGGGCCTCTGTCGGCGATCAATGGGCGATTTGGGGGTCGATGCGTCCCCCCGCTATGCCTATCCCCCCCCCATCGCTGCCCCCGAGATGCGCTGGGCACGCATCGCTGCGACGCTGGTAGCGACGCTGGCGGCGACGCGACGGCGACGCGATGCGCTGGCGGTGCGCTGGGCGCCGCATCGCCAGTGGCACTGGCGATGCGGCGCGACCCTCGGTCCCCGCCCCGCTCCGGCCCCGCAGGGGCGGCCCGAGAGGCCAGACTGGCCAACTGTCGGGGACGGACAGACCCCCCTTTCGCAAAACGTGGTTTGGTGAAAACGACCTGAGGCCCAAACCTGGCGGTCGCAAGCCTGGAAAATAGCGGCCACGGCGCCCTCCGGAGGACTGAAAACGGACAATTCACTAATCGACGTGTCACTGTTGGGGGTTCTGTCCACCCCCGAAACTGGTGGTTGGCAGCGGCGGTCCGGCAGCGTGGTGGTGCTGGTCGTGTAGCTCGTCAGGGTCGTGATGCTCCACGTGGTGAGGGTCGCGGAGATCGTGCTGGTCACGCTGGTGCTGACGCTGGTCGCGCTGGTGGTCGCCGTCGAGCTGGTCGTGGTGGTGCCCACGCCAGAGCCGAACTCTCCGGTGACCCCAGTGAGGTTTTCAACCGAAGCGTTGCCCACCTCGGCAGGGCCGAGATGGACAGCGATGAAGGGACGGATAGTGTGAGCATCAGGGTGCCGAGGGAGAGCAGGAGCAGGAGGGCGACGACCAGGAGGGCGAGGATCACGAAGGTGAAGATGTGGAGGATGATCAAGACCAGGATGGGGCAAGGCAGGAACATGATCGGGCGCTTGACGGGGAGGAGAATGTGCAGGATGGAGGGCTGATTGATCATGCGTGAACAAGGATGAGGGACGGAGCGCGCGGCAGAAAACGAGGACGGGTGGACGCCGCGTGCGCAATCATTGACAAGGGATGAAGAATCATATGGAAGGATGGTGGTGGCAATCACGTGAATGATGTGGCGGCCAAGGGGATGCGTTTTGACTGCCTGCTGGTTTCTGCGATAATGGCTTGATACAGACTTGCCCGAAGGCGATGAGGTTTCACGACTCGTCTTCTGCAGCTCGGCCATACGATTGATATGGTTCCTGCAACTCTTCGGGTTGATGTGGTTCATTTGCAACTCCTCGAGCTGATGCTTGGTAACCGCTTTCGTTTTACTCGTAAGCTCAGATGTGGACCTCGGAGGCGTTCTTTGCTTTCGCTTTCGAAGTTGGCCAATCGGTGCTTGACTTCCCCTCCTCTACGCCCTAGCCAATACAATGAACATGCTGTTGAGCTCCTCGAGCTCCTGGCCCCGCGCAACTACGGTTTTCTGGATGGTAAGAACTCACCGTTCTCAGCAGCAGGCTCATTTTCGAGCTGATCGCACTGCTGGCGCATCCCCGCCAGATCGGCCTTGACGCCCTTCTTCGTGGTCATGACGTGGGCCCAGGAGGCGTACGCGATTGCATCGAGAGCACTTCTCAACCAGTAGTGGGATTGGCACCCTCAAGCTTCATCGCGAGTGCACCCGACGTGCCCTGGGTGTCCCGAAGCTCCTCCCCACGCCTTCCCACCTGGCTACGCTACGCACGCCGTCATCGGCCTCTGGCCTCCTTCTCGTCGGGGGTCAAGCCCATGATGTCGTCGGCGACGCTCGCGCATGACCGATGCCGCTCCTGACCTTGCTCGCACGGCCGATCGGGAAACGGCGCACTGCTCGGTGAGCCGCGCTCCCCGATCCGGCATTCGGCGGAGGCGTCTCCCCGACCTGAGCGCTGGCGTCACTTTCAGCTCGTCAGGTAGTAACTCCTTCAATTTCATCGAAAAAACGATGAAAGGGGTATTTGTGTGCCCGACTGAGGTGCCACCAATTTCAAGGTGAATGTGGGGGTCGGGCGCAGGGTCCCGGCAATGCTATTTCCATGGGCCACGCATGGGCGATACATCCTCGATTGCTGTGTTCGGCGGGGGAACCAATTGAAGCTCCCCGCCTGCACCCATGCGCGAGACGGGTAAACGAAGCAAGGGAACCGAATTGAAGCCGGACGAGGTCGAAAGAGGCTGACTCTCGACGACGGCTGCTCCAGCGCCGAAGCCAAACTCAACCTCCTTTGCTTGGCGTCTCCCACACCACTCGCCTCCTTCAGCGACGGGCGGCGCGCCGCGCGCCCTTGCATGGGGTGGCGAGGGGGAAAGAGAGAATGAGAGAGAGAGAGGGAACGAGAGAGAGAGAGAAAGAAAGAAGAACGAGAGAGGGAGAGCCATACATATACACATACATCAACATCTACATATACAGTTACGCCTACATCTACATGTACATCTACATATTCATATGCATATGTGCTATATACAGATGTATATTTACACACATGTGCATGTATGTGTGTATGTGCGTGTGTATGTATGTATGTTTGTATGTATGTGTATGTAGGTGTATGTAGGTGTATGTATGTATGTATGTATGTATGTATGTATGTATGTATGTATGTGTATATATGTGTGCATGTCTGTATGCATGTATGTATACATATATATATATGTGTATACTATAATTTGATTAACATGTGTATACATGTTCATTGCGGCAAGCCCATCCTGGGCCCAGGAACTGGCCATCGCTAGGACGTCCATTCCCTATGTTTTGTTCGGTTTCGTGCGTGGTTTGTTCGCCAAATGATCAAGGATGCTCCTCGATGGTCTTCGCCGAAGGAAACATGCACATGTCCGACCGATGCCAAGGGAACCGTGCACGTGCCTTCCTCCCGGAAAAAACCTCACAAACAAACGTATGCGCCGCACCGGGGCCCAGGATGGGCCGGGCCAGGGGCACCGGCTGCGTGCAGATCTGGCGGCCCGTCTGCCCGTGCCCCTGCCGCGGTGCCATCTGCGCGGCCACTTCACGCCCTCATTTCACAACCCTGGATAGAAACAGTCGAACTCTATACACCGACGCTGTTTCCGGCCCTGCATTAAGATTCGCACTGGAAAACCGACCCTGGTGTATACGGGGCCCAGTCTCAATGTTTCCCCACAACATCGAAGAACAAAAACATACACCACAGCACCCCAGCGTCGTCCCCGACACTCAAAAACTACTGGGATTGAAAAACAGCCCGCCACTGGTAATGTATATGTTCCTGTAGCAGGCGCGCAATCACCGAAAGCCTTGCACGGGGAAGCTGCTGCAGCAGCAGGCAGGCAACCCTCGCCGCTGCACTGAACGGCCGCAAGCAAAGAACCGTCGGTCGACGCTCGCCTCCGCTTCCCGACCGGGCCGAGCTATGCCAACCGCGTTTCCTGGCTCGCTCTCCCTTCCGCTAGAATTCGTGGAGCGACGATCAAACACGGGTCTTGCGTGAGATGACGCAGCGAACTTACGCGGTGATCCACGCGGGTAAATAGCGCGGCAAGCCACAATGGAGACGGGGGCACTCACGCGCAACGTCACGCGGGCAGCTTACGCGCCAATGTTGGTGAACACGAACCCACGTTGTTGCGTCGCACGGTTGAAACGGATTTGCCCTCGTCCTAGGCCCGTCCGACAGCGCGCAGCTTCCAGCAAGAACGCGCAGCAGCAGCGAGGCAGCAAACAACTCCGGACAGCATTAAGCCTCCGCGAACGACGGCGATCGGCAGCGTCCACAAGGGGCTCGAGGCTCGAACAGCGGCGCTTCCCGTTGCGCCGCACATGAATCCCCCCCTCCCCCCTCGGAGCGACACCCAGAAGCGAGCGAGCGAGGCGGGGGGGGAACGAGGAACGAGGATGCCACCAGCAACCGCTCCCCAAGGGATCGCTGGCAAGGGGAACGCACGTGGCCCACGTGGCACAGCGAGGAGGAGGAGGATATAGGAAAGGGGGAGAGAGAAGAGGAGGAAGCGGAGGAGGAGGAAGAGGAGGAGGAGGAGGAAGAAGAGGAGGACGAGGAGGAGGAGGATGAAAGAGAGGAGGATGATCGCCGCGCACCTGGGGGCGCGAGTCGAGCCACGCGGCCCCCGGTCGCCCGCGCGCCCCGCGCGGGCGCGGGGATCCTGCGCATCCGGCGGCGTGCTCAGGACCCCCGACCACAGGGGCCCCGCGCCTCCAGCGGCGGAATCAGGGCCCCCGACCGAGAGGTCGCGCACGACCTGCTTGCAGTAGCCGTCGGGCCTCCCCCACCGCCCGCGCGGTGGATCTTCGCGCCGTTCACGTAGTAGGACTGCTGGAACCTCCGCGACCCGAAATCGAAGCGCGCAGCCACGATGTGCTGGACGACCTCCGCCATCTCCACGCCATCCCAGAACACCGTGTTGAAGACCTTCTCAGCCTCCGACACCTCCGCCTCCGCCGTCTCGGAATCGCCCGACTCCGAGTGCAACACCTCCTCGTCGAAGATCTCCACGCCGACGGAGAGCATCTGCGCCCTCCTCTGCACGAGCGGCTGCGCCGAGCGCTCGCGCGGGGCACCAGGGAGGTCAAGAGAGGACTCGACCCACAGGTGGAACTCCACCACCTCGGACTCCGCCGCCACGCAGATGTTGGACACCTGTTTCTGCAGCGACGCCACCTTCGCCGACCCACCATCGTGGCAACACGCTGCGACGATCATCGGTTCCTCCTCCACCTTCTCCTTCAACGCGTGCTTCTGGAAGTCGGCCTTGTACCCGTCCGCCTGCGCGCGGTCGCCCGCGCCCAGCTGCTCCAGCAGGACGTCGACCGCGTTGCTGCTGGCGGGCACGAGCGGCGCGGCCTCACCCCGCAGTGGGAAGGCCTGCGCCCTCAACTGAGCTTCGCGGTCGCTGGCCTTGACGCCGAACGCCCGCGGCAAGGCCCTGCCAGCCGCCCCTAGTGGCGGCGCGTGCCTCGCCTGGCTGCCCAGCGCCAGCGCCTCCTCCGGCTGCTTCACCACCGCGCTTGGGCAGCCCAGGAGACGGGCGGCCGCCAGCCCATCGCCGAACGAAGGGACGTGGCAGCCGAGCATGTATCCGATGCGCTAGTGCGCGTCCAGCGCCACGCGAAGCGCCTGCGCCCGCCGCGCCAGGGCTTCGGCGCGAGAGGGGCCCATCTCCTCGCGGCGCTCAGGAGGAGGAAGAGGAGGAGGAGGAGAAGGAGGAGGAGGAAACTGAGGATGATGATGATGAGGAGGATGATGAGGAGGAGGAGGAAACGGAGGAGGATGATGAGGAGGATGATGAGGAGGAGGAGGGAGCAGGATCAAGGAGGAACGAGGAGGGACGGAGGAGGAGCTTCCCATTCTGAGCGCTGCCCAGGAGAGAAGAGGGGGGTAGGCCCGTCCGCTGCCGCGAGGCGGCCGCGCGGCACGCGCTCCTTCGAACCAGGGCACCCCTATCCTCTTTACAAGGGCCCAGGGACACACACACACACACACATTCTCACACACACATATAGTTATATATATATATATATATATAGATATATATATAATATATAATAATATATCTATATAACTATATCCACACACACACATCACCGATTTCCCCAGATGTTCCCTATTTTTCTGGGTTTTCGTCTTTCCCCTATTTCCCATACGTTCCAGGGAGTCGCCGATGAACTGTGTCTGTGTGCTTTTGTTCCCCCTCCTGACGCTTAAGCGGCTCAAGGATCGGGCCCAGAGGGAACACGAGAGGGATCCCGAGCCGAACCTGCGCCGCGCGAGGCCGTTCGTCCTTGGGGCCTCCTCCCTCAAAGCCCCGCCCAGGAACCGCACGGCCCGAACCAAGGTGGCGACTTGAGGCACTCTGGCCTCGACGACTCCGGCCCCGGTTTTTCCAGCACCGCGTGAATCGTCCAATCCTTTTCGGAAGTCTCAAGACTAGAGTTAGGTCGGGCGTGTCCCTCTACAGGAGTAAAATTTGAATGAAAATAAGTATGGGGACGATGTTTTTTACTAATTCTCATCATTGTTGAATATTCGTTTGACTACATCCTATTTTTCCTTCAAAATCCGCCTGTAAGGGGGCATGCCCGACCTAAGAATAGAGGAAACAACGGCATAAGCGTAAACTTTGGGCGTTCCGCGCGGATTTCTTGGATCTGCGCTGGCCCCCCTGGCGCGCGGAGCGCGCCAGGGGCGGCACTGGAGGCGCCGCCGGGGGCGCCTGGCGCGGATCCAAGAAATCCTTGCGGAAGGTCTGTCTGGCATTATGTCGGGCGTGTCCCCCCCCTACAGGGGGAATTTAGAGGAAAACTTCAAAATGCCCCCAAAACACCTCCAAAAGGCAACACAAATATTTTAAAAAATAGTCCCCAGACTATTGTTGGACTATTTTTGGGTTATTTTTGGTGTATTTTCTATCTTTCGTCGAAAATCCCCCTGTAGGGGGACAGGCCCGACTTAATTCTGGCACCACGTGGGTCGTCCAGGCTCGCGTGGCCTCCGCGCCGCGGGCTGTGCCTTCCCGGGGCCTCCGGGGGCGCACAGATCTGGCCCGGCCGGGGGGGGCCCTCGGCCACGGCCCAGCCGCTCAGGGGGAGAGGAGCGGCGCAGAAGAGCGCACACACACACACACATAAACGTTCGGAGGTCCGCGCGAACGTCTCGGGTCTGCGCTGGAACGTCCGGAGGTCCGCGCGAACGTCCGGAGGTCCGCGCGAACGCCTCCCTCCAAGCCCCTGCAAGCGGGTTGCTAGTAAACGGGCCGGTAGCCAAGGGTGCGTTTCCAACAGTGTTCTCGAAAAACTGATCTGCTGCGCACACGTGCGAGGTGAATTTCCCCGCCCAGAGTTATGATGATGGCGAACGTTTTCTTATTCTCGGCAATGGACAAACCTCCCTTTAGTAAACCTCCCTTTAGTGAAAACGGCCTATGACCGAAACCGACGGACCTGGACCCGCAAAAATAACGGCCGCGACGCCCTCTCGCGAGCCGAAAACGGCAAATTCGCTAATCGACGTGTCAGGGTAGGAGGTCTATCCACCTCCGATATTCGGCGTTTCGACAGTGGGCGGGAGGGGGGGGGGGGCCGGGGTCTGGCTCTGGGCCTCTGCTCGGGGCGACTGCTTGGAACCGTGCGTCCTCTGGGGGAGACTCCACCTGCCTGAGGCGGGCGCCAAAAACAGCCAAGATCTACTCCATGAGGGGGGGGGAGGGGGGCGGTGCGAGGGTCCGCGCCGATCGGCAAAACAAGGAATAAGAAACGATCACATGTGTATCGACGTGTTTGTCGTCCAGGATCATCACGCACCAGTGCGAGGCACAAATGCCCTGTCAAGCCCGTTCTCGCTTGAAGAGGCCCCTCAGCTGCCTCCCCGTTCACTAACGCCCCGCTTGCAGGGGCTTGGTTCTGGGCGCGCGGAGCTCGGGGATCTGCTGACCCAGGTCAACCCAGACCCGGCTCAGTCAGGCCTTGCAGAATCCTGCAAGATCCTGCGAGATCCTGCACCCAAACCAGGCTCAATGCGAAGGGTTCTGCAGGATCCTGCAGGATCCTGCGCCCAAGCCCGGGTCAATGCGACCCTGGCCCTGCAGGATCCTGCAAGATCGGGCGCCTTGGTTGACGCCTGTTTGCATTGACCCCCCGTCTCAAGGCTCCCGAGGAGCGCGCGAGGGGCGGCTCCAGAGACACCGCCGAGGGGCCCAACGCCGACCCAAGAACTCCGCCCGGACCACCGATGCTGTTTCTGGGTTTTCCTTTTCTCGTTTCGGCGGTGGACAAACCTCCCTTTAGTAAACCATCCTCTGTAGTGAAAACGGCCCAGGACCGAAACCGACGGCCCTGGACCCGCAAGAGTGACGGCCGCGATGCCCTCTCGCGAACCGAAAACGGCCAATTCGCTAATCGACGTGTCAGGGTAGTAGGTCGACCAACCTCCGATGCAGTGCGGGCGCGGCCGCAAGAAAACCTCGCAAGAAACCCAACCCTGAGAACACGTGCGCGAGGTGCACCTGAGGGGAAACCTGAAGCACCCTGAACGCAGCAACCCCTTCAACGGCTGCGGGAAGTCACCGCGCAGCGCGCGGAGCGAAGAAACCCAGGATGCCCTGACGAAAACATATGGTTTCTTGATGCGCGCCCCCACAATATATATCTCATTCGTCGACCAGAGAGCTTGGAGGCGGAGGAGGCGCGCCGATTTTCCGAGCTGCGTCCTGCCTTGGCGACGACCGAGACTGCCAGGACACAACGAAATGCTCGCCATCGCTCGGACGTCCGTTCCTCGTGTATTTTTCGATTTCACGCGTGCTCTTTTCGCTACGTAAGTCATCCAGGATGCTCCTCCATGGTCCTCGCCGAGGAAAAGATGCACACATCCGAGCGATGCCAAGAATAGACACAACGTACAAGATCCTCTCGGACTTTTCCGTCATTCCTGGAGGATCGTCCTCCCCTCCACTTCCCATGCTCTCTTGTTTTCCGGGGGATCGGCGATGATTCGTGATTGTGCGTGCTTTCCCCCTCCTGAGCGACGGGGGCGCCCCGACCGTCGTCGACGGGGGCCCCCCGAAGGCCAGCTACAGCCAGGCCTGGGACAGGGTAGCATCCTTCAAGAACATGAGGCCCTCCGCCAGCCACGCCGAAGAATATCCGAGGTGCCCTCCCCCAGGATGCTCGAGAACATCCAATAGACACGGAGAGCCTTAGGGTACCACCCCGAATCGACCTCGATCTTATACTCGGGTGTTGCTAGGAGTGCCCCTGGCCTAAGGTGCCCCCAGCTTTTGGCTCCATTTTGGAGCCCCTGGGGCCCTCTGGGCCTCGTGAGAGGTGCCCTGGAGGCCGTCTGGGCCACCCCGAGAATCCCGGGGGTACCTTGGGCCAGGGGCACTTCTGGCAGCACCCGATATACCTCGGGCCCCCCGAAAACCACCTACCGCTGTCTCCGCTCGCCCTCCTCTGGCCATCGCTCGGACGTCCATTCCCTGTGCTTTTTTCGGATCGTGCGTGGCTTTTTTCGCAGGATGATCCAGGATGCTCCTTCATAATCCCCGCCGAGAAAAAATGCACACGTCCGAGCGATACCAAGTCCTCTGAGACAAGCGGCGGCGGCGGACGTCTGAGCCGCCCACGCCGGCGACGCCTGGCACGCCGGCCGAGGCGTTCACTGCGCTGGCGTTGGCGACGCCGGGCACGCCGACCGAGGCGTTCACGGCGTCGGCGTCGGCGACGCCCGGCACGCCGATCGAGGCGTTCACTGCGCCGGCGTCGGCGACGCCGGGCACGCCGACCGAGGCCTTCACGGCGCCGGCGTCGGCGACGCCCAACACGCCGACCGAGGCGTTCACGGCGCCGGCGTCGGCGACGCTCGGCACGCCGACCGAGACGTTCACGGCGCCGGCGTCGGCGACGCTCGGCACGGCGGCCGAGGCGTTCACGGCGCCAGCGCCCGCGGCTGCGACGGCAAACCTCCCGTGCCCTCCCAGGCCCTCGGGGTGGCCCTGCACGAGGCACGGCGGCGTCGGGGGGGGGCGGGGCCCTGTGGGTTCTTGCACGGCCCAGCCTGGCTGGCCAGTGTCAGAGCTGCTGGCCTGCGCGTGAGCACCCCCTCGGCAGGAGTGCTTCATCGGGATCGCGGCCCACTTTCGAGGGCGCGCAAGCATGGATTAGGCGATCCATGGATTAGGCGCGCGGTCGCCAAATCCATGGATCGGGGGAGGTGCCCTTCCCAAAATGCGGCCGGTGCCGCCTCGCTCAGCGGCGGAAGCCCGCGATCTCGCGTGGAAAGGGGACCCGTCGCTACTCCATGCCCCCTGAATCCATGTCTGCGATCGCCTGAGGAGGAGGAGGAGGAGGAGGAGGGAGGAGGAGGAGGAGGAGGAGGAGGAGGAGGAGGAGGAGGAAGGAAGGAGCCGGGAGTGGATCGGCGCGCGCGCGCGCCCACCGCAACGCCCACGAAGCGCCACCACCGCCGCCCGACCGCCCCTCTCCCGTCCGTGAGTCGCTGCAGCCCAGACTCGCTCAGCGATGGCCTCACTCGATCACTCCTCCGCCTTCTCCTCCCCTTCCTCCTCCTCCGCCTCCTCCTGCTGCTCCTCCTCCTCCTCCTCCTGGTCCTCCCTCCTTGCATCGCTGTGCTGCGGAGTGCGAAGACATCCGCCCCGACTGCCTCCACTGCGGGGCTCGCGGCACTTTGGTTCACCGCAGGGTCCACTGCCCAAGACTTGCGACCTGGCGGCGAGACGAGATCTCGACGGTGGTCTCGAGTTACGTTGCTCCTATTGTAATTCAGGACCACATCCCAGCAATAATTTCGAGCATCCTGAAAAGTGTCAAAAGAGTGTCGAAACAATGTCGGACGAGTGTCCCCCAGGGCCCGACACGTGAAAACCCTCGAGTTTCGGTAAATTTCTGTGCTCGAAATTCTTCATGGTGGTCAAGGCTAAAGTAGGTTGGAACATCATAAATCTCGAGGGCCGGTCGTTTGTGAGCAGGCTCAGGATCAGAGGCCAAGAGGATTTCGCTCGAGGGCTCTCTCCCGACCCCTTCTCTTGGTTCCCCCGCCAGGGCGCGAGACCCCTCCTCCTGCTTCCTCCGCAGGCTCAACCGGCCTCACGATGCTGGCGGATCGGCCTTTGAGGGCTCGCTCCGGGCGGTGGTGGTTGTTGAGAAGGAGAGAGGAGGGAGGAGGGAGGAGGGAGAAGGGAGGAGAGGGAGGAGAGGGAGGAGAGGAAGGAGGGAGGAGGGAGGAGGAGGAGGAGGGAGGAGGGAGGAGGGAGGAGGGAGGAGGAGGGAGGGAGGGAGGAGGGAGGAGGAGGAGGAGGAGGAGGAGGAGGAGGAGGAGGAGGAGGAGGAGGAGGAGGAGGGGAATGGGCAAAGTGTCCTCTGGGGGATACGGTGCCGCTGGCTGAGGCCCCCCTCCAGGCGGCTCGGGACGGCGAAGACTGCGCCGTCCTCCAGCTCACGCGCTGCGCTGTGCCCTCGGGTGCTCTTTGAATCCGCCGACCCTGCCGGCGCGTGACAGGATTAGGTCGGGCATGTCTCCCTACAGGCGGACTTTGCACGAAACGAAAATACTAAAAAATATTCAAACATGGTCGATCAAATCGTCCGCAGACCATTATTTGACTATCCTCGAATATTCCTCCTGCAGAATGACGGGCCCGACTGAATGATAGGAGCTGTTCCGTCGCCGTCGCCGTCGCTGCCTCCGTCGCGTCGCCGCCGCCATCACGTCCCTTCCTTCCCCTGAGTCCCATCGCCGCTCCCCCCCCCTTCCTGGGGCCCTCGTCCTCGAGCACGCCAGCCAAAGCGAAGATACACCGGCCCATCCACAGCGAAACGAGGCAACGCCGTCCTCGAGTCGAAGGGAAGCCCCTTCCCTCCGATCCCTTCCCCGCGGAGGGGGGGGTGTCCCAGGGGGGGGGGGTCCTCGGGGGTGGTCCCGGGTCAGAATACCACCCTCCCGGGGCCCATGGCCCGCCCTCGCCCTCCCATTTCCGTCGAGGGCCGAGGCCTCCAGGGTCGGCGGCAACGGCCGTGAGGCCGGAAAAGTATTGACTGTGCTGGCACGGTTGCTTGCGCATCTGATGTTCGAGCCGCGACCAGCTTCCTCAACACTAGGGCCCGTTGGCGGGCCTAAGTCGACAAGCTGGACGGCGTTGCGGTCAGGAAAATGCCAGCGCACTGCCCACTCGGGTCCGATGGCTCGTCGCAAATGCGGCCGACAAGTGTGCCGAGAGCGGTGCTGAACTAGCTCGTTGTGCAGGGCAGGGCCGCCTGGCAATTCAGGGTTGCCATGAAGTCGCCAGAGAGGTTCGGATTTTCGCGGCCCGCCAGGAGGCCTTTGTTGCGAGCGAAGGGTCTTTCGACCATGTCCCCCTCCCGTGGCTTAAGAATGTGGAGTTGGCCAAGTTTCCCCTTGCGGCAGATGATGCCAAAAGCCCGGACCTTGGTACTCCCGTGGCCACTTGTTCCCGGCGAACCACATCAAAGGTCCAGAGTTAGCCACAGCCGAGTGCGTGTAAGACGAAGCCAGGACGAGGATAACATCGGGTGATCATACATCGAGAACCTCAGAGATCCGGCGGCTCTGGAAGATGTCTCGGGCGCCGCGGCCTTCTCAGAGCGCTCCGGAACGCTCTGAGAACGCTCTGAGCACGCTCTGGAACAGACTCATCCTCGTCCTGGCCCCGCCCCCCGCCCGATGGGTGGCCTTCTGCACCACGTGCGGGGTCCATCGGCCACCCTGGGGCACCGTGGGGTCGGAGCGCTCTCGCGTCGGACTGTTCTGGGTCCCGTACTGCCGGTCGTGAGCGGCAAGTGGCTTGGGCGTCGCGTGGCGAGCGCCCCCTCCCGACGTGCCGGGCGAGTCGGTTCGGCGGCCTCGCTGTCGGTCCCCAGTCGGGAGCTTCTCGCGGCCAAGCCCGGCCCTCACAGGAGGTGCCTCTGCTGGGCCCCTCCTGGCCTCCCCTCGCCCACGGTCGGCGCGACCTGACCCGAGGCCTCGCCCTTCCTGGCTCTCCCTCTCGCGCCGAGGCGCCGAGCTTCTCGGACGGCGGGTCCCGGAGAGGAAGCGGGCGGGGCGCGCCGACGGGCATGACGAGGTGGAGGAGCTCTGAGGCTTCGGTAGCGTAGGAAGCTGTTGATCCTTTCGGTCGGCGTGGTGCTCCTCCCTCCTTGCTGCTGGCGAAGCCTGAACGCCTGGTTGGAAAGTGTCCAAATACCTCGACCTGCTCCGATGCGGCCGACCTGGGACATAGTAACATCCTTGAAGAACTTGAGACCCTCCGCCGGCCAAACTGAAGAACTTTTGAGGGTACCCTGTCCCAGGATGCGCAAGAACATCCAGCAGACACGAAGAACATCAGGGTACCCTCCCCGAGCCGGCCTCGATGTTATACCCAGGTCCGACCGTGACGCAGTTGTGAGCATCGTCCTCGGTGAAGCTCCCTCGGGAGCCACAAAACGTGTGATGGGGTCCGAACATGATCATGCGGTGGGCGGGGAGCAGCATGTGCACCCTGCCACTAGACCCTTCGGTGGAACTTCATGTGGGGCCACGAGGCGCGTGAGGGGTGTGCCGCAACGGCCACGCGGCGGGCGGGGAGCCGCATGCGAACCCTGCCGCTGGGGCCTTCGGCGGGAGCTCCCTGTGGGGCCGCGGCGCGCGTGAGGGGTGTGCCGCAACGGGCACGCGGCGGGCGGGGAGCCGCATGCGAAGCCTGCCGCTGGGGCCTTCGGTGGGAGCTCCCTTTGGCGCCACGCCGCCAGGGGCACGCGGCAGGCGGAGGCAGAGGTGGGAGGAGGGAGGGAGCGGGAGGAGGAACGGCGGAGGAGGAAGGAGCGGCGCGGGGCGCCGTCCCTTCCGGTGTATCGCCGACGTCACCCATGCATCGCCGATGCATCGCCGATGCATCGGCGATGCATAGGCGAGGCAGCGCGATCCTCCGACCCCACCAAGGTACACGTCGATTCGATCGATCAGATTCGATGTCGAATCTGGCCGGCTCGATCCGATTCGATTATGATATTCCGACGATCCGATGTGGCCCGCGAGGCGGTGTAGACGTCGAAGTGCGTCCGGTTGGACCACGCTCGGTCATTCGCTCGCGATCCGCCCAACACCACGACGTGGTCGGGAACACGAACAACAGCGTCGGGGGTCTGGGCCCCTCCCGCGCTCCTGCTCGCATCCCTCCCCGCTGCACCCGGGCGCTCGCTGCAAGCAGCTCCCTGCGCGTGCGGGGGGCCGCAGTGCCACGACAGGCTGCTCCTCCTCCTCCTCCTGCTCCTCCTGCTCCTCCTGCTCCTCCTCCTCCTCCTCCTCCTCCTCCTCCTCCTCCTCCTCCTCCTCGCCCAACTGCGCAATCCTCGGAACCCGATATCCAACGCCTCACCATGCGGCACTCGGGACGGGGGGAGAGAAGCAGGAGGGGCAGAAGGACGTGTTGTCGTGGCCTCCTTGCCGATCGTCCCGCCAGCGGCGTGCTCCAAGGCTTGCAGCTGCTCAGGCCACCTCGCCTAAGCCGGTGCTTCTGCTCGGCTCGGCGGCGAGCCTGGGGGGGAAGTGAGGAGGGGCGGGCCTTCTCAGAAGGCTCGAAGTCCCCCGGCTTTCTGAGAAGTCTTCCAAGCCTTCCCCCGAGACACAAAACATCTCTCAGAAGGCCGGAGGGCTTCTGAGAAGCCCCGCCGCCTGCTGAGGAGGCCCTTCTCCTTCTCACTTCCCCCCCTCGCTCGCCACCGATGTGTGCTTTTGCTTTGACACAGGGACGCTCGAGCTCCGCTGCGCGAGCCCGCTCAACGCGAAAGGGGTAGGAGGATGCTATCCGCTAGCCTCGCTCCGCGCCGCTGCGCGGTGAGCGTCGCGCGCGACCCGCCGGCACGCCATCTGAGGCCTCGCCCGGAGCGCAGGGCGGTTCTCCATTCGATGCGGTGGCGTTTTGCCACAGGGAAGCAGGGGGCGAATTCCTACCTCACCGCAACGAAAAGAAAAGGAGCCTCCTCCTCGTCCTCCTCCTCCTTCTCCTCCTCCTCCTCCTCCACCATCAGCCCCTCTCCCGGGGCTCGACCACAGCAGCGCTTTTCGTCTTCGTTTTGTGCTCGTGTTCCGTCGCTCCGTCTCCGACCAGCCTTTCCTGCAAACTGCAAAACGACATCGAAACGACAACGGCCCACGCAATCACAAAAGCACCGTTCAGGTCGACCCCTGCCCTCTCCGTCTGGCCGCTTCTGCTGAGCTGTCGTAATCAGTAGAGAATCGCTGGGGGGGGGGGACCGGCCGGGGGGGCGAAACATCGACCTGGGCCGACAGGTCGGCGCCGGGCCCCCGAGGGCGAATCCGCACGTTCCCTGGCGGGGGGGGGGACTAGCGGGCTCCCATCGGCGATGAACGAGCGAGCCTCGCTGAGTCGACGCATCCCCCCCCTGAGCCCATCGCCTCCAACGTTGCCGCTGATACTGAAGGGGCCCTGGGACACACAAATAAAGACACACAAATAACAGGATTCCCTGTATTTTCCCATATTTTCTGGGATTGTGTCTCCCCCCCACTTCCCATATGTTCCCATATTTTCTGGGGAAGCGACGATTAATTGTGTCTGTGTTTTTGTCCCTCCTGAGATACTCTCTGCGCCCAGCGCCCGCCCCTCCCTGTGGCTGACGGCGGGCACCCCAGCCGGAAGTTCGAGCAGCACCAGTCGGACTTGGACGCCGACCAGCTCCGCTGCGTCTCCAGGTCGAAGCTGCAGTTGAAGGACGCCTTCAGGACGCCTGGAGGAGTTTCTGGGCCAGAGGTCGAGGGGAGGAGAGATGCAGGAGGAGAGAGGGACGGAGGGGAAGGGGGGGCGAGGCAGTGGGGGGAGAGCCGGGAGGAGGAGGAGGAGGAGGAGGAGGAGGAGGAGGAGGAGGAGGAGGAGGAGGAGGAGGAGGAGGAGGAGGAGAGGAGGAGAGCCAGGAGGAGGAGGAGAGCCAGGAGGAGGAGGAGAAGGAGGAGGAAGAGGAGGGGGGGGGACAAGCTAGGTGCGCTCGCGTCATATCTGACGTCCTACCCCTCCCTCCCATCCCTTACCATGGCGCTGATTTTCTCTATCCGCGGACGCGTGTCGTAGCGGACCTGTGGCTCCGCGCGCGCGTGCGTAGTGGGTGGTGGTGCACGTGCGTGCGTGCGTGCGTGTGTGCGTGGTTGTCGTGGTGGTGGTGGTGGTGGTGGTGGTAGTGGTGGTGGTGGTGGTGGTGGTGGTGGTGGTGGTGGTGTGGTGGGTGGTGGTGGTGCTGGTGGTGGTGGTGCTGGTGGTGGTGGTGTGGTATTGGTACTGGTGCTGGTGCTGGTGGTGGGTGGTGTGTGGTGGTGGTGGTGGTGGTGGTGGGTGGTGGTGGTGGTGGTGGTGGTGGCGGTGCGGCGCGGTGGTGGCGGGCGGATGGGCGCGCGAGAAAAAGGCCCGCGCTGGGGCGAGAACGCCATCCTGAACGACGGAGGCCAAACACCGATCCGAAAATGAGGCCCACGCTGCAGCGGGAGCACGATTCGGAACGATTCGGGAGCAGAAATGAGGCCGGCGCCTCAACGAGAGCAGCATTTTTGGAAGAAATGACGCCGGCGCCTCAGCGAGTCGTTTCCCGGGATTTCCCCGGGATCCTGTGTAAAAAAACAGTACGCGGAGGGTGCGCGGCCATCACCCGGACGCCATCAGGGGAAGAGGGAGAGTATTTTCATATTGAGTAATTGAGGAGGAGGGGAGCCAGGAGGAGGAGGAGGAGGAGGAGGAGGAGGAGGAGGAGGGGAGCCAGGAGGAGGAGGAGGGAAGCCAGGAGGAGGGGAGCCAGCTAGGAACGAGCGGGCAGAGTAGGAGGGGAGCCAGGAGGGAGAGGAAGGACAAAGGAGGACGAGGAAGGATTCGGCTCGGCGAGCCGTGGAGACCTGGGCAAGCCAGGGCACAGGTGAGCACAGCTCGGCGGCGAGCGAGGGGGGGGAAGTGAGGAGGAGAAGGCCTTCTTTACCAGCTTCGAACATATCCCTATCCCTAAGATCGACATGCCAAAAAGCGATGACAATCTTAGGGATGCGCCCTCAAAAAATAAGGGAATAACCTAAGATTTGCATCGTGATGAGGAGATGCCCAGCATAGGGATAGGGATATGTTCCAGGCTGGTACCTTCTCAGAGGACGGCCGGACTTCTCAGAAGCCCTGGCGCCTCCTGAAACGTTGTTTGCGTCTCCAGGGACAGCTAATTAAAAACTTCTCAGAATCGGAATCGGAATCGAGCTCCGGGGGCACCAGGTTGTCTTATCTAGAGAAATGCCTGGTCAATTCCTGGCCATATTTGCCAGTTTACAACTCAGACCTTGGTGGGTACGAGGCGGACATTCCTGGTTCAAGTCGCGCACGTTCAACGTGAGGAAGGAGGACTGAGGATGCGAGAGGATGAGAAAGGAGGAAGATAAGGAATGATGCGGGAGAGGGTCGAGGAAGGAGGAGTGGGGATGATGGATGACGACAGCGGACGAGGGCAGATGAGGGGGCAGGGGGGCGGATGAGGGCGGATGAAAGCGGAGGCGGAGGAGGCAGCAGGGCGGAGGAACGCAGAGGGAGGCCACGCGGCAAGCCAACTGGACTCGGAGCGAAGGGAGCTAGGATGCCAGTGAAGTCTTGGAGGTTTTGAGCTAAGCCTGGTGGCGCAAGGAAAGCTCCAGGCGGCCAGGGGCAGCACTCAGCGGGCCCGAGTGGTCCCGCATTTGGCAGCAGATGCTAGCCTCAACCGGAGATGGGGCCCAGACCATCCAGGACCGAAGCAAGAAAGGCCAGAGGAGGGCAGCTGGGATCAAGCTGCTCCAAGCAGCGAGTGTAATAACCCCATGCTGGTGAGAAGAATCCCCGGGGGATAATGCCGTTCTGGGCCCAGGCGGGCAAGCAAACTGTTCCCCGGAGATATCGACGTTAGGATGTCTGGATCGCGTTTCGCCCGAGAGATCCTCAAAATCGGAGCTACGATCGGAACTCTGGAGGGGGGAAAGTTCGGCCTCCCCGACTGCTGTGTTTCAAGTGAACAACGCTCAATCCCGTGATTTACAAAGAGATACCAGGGGAAAGGGGAGTGGATGCTTTCGTATCTGGAGGGTGTGGTTCACAGAGAAGGTCCTTTCGGCCTTTTCTAGGGGGCAAACAAACCTACCTCGCTTTTGACCACCCTCGCTTCCAAGAGATACCAAGCGATGCCAAACTACGGTGTGTACTGGTCAGGCCGCTTGACGAGGAGGCGCGTGGCGTGACTTGGTTTCGCCTGGAAGCGAAAGCGGGGCGGGTAATTCACGCTCTGACTTTCGGCAGGGCCGCGACCGCAGCTGACCAGCCCAAGTGCAGCCACGGCGCCGCACTCCGGCTGGGGTCTCGGGAGTCCAGCGCCCCAGGGCCTACACCAGTTGGAGGCTCGCGCGGCCGCACTTTGCCGATCCCATGGTAAGACGAAACCAGGATGAGGACAGGATCGGATAAGGATAAAGCGAGATTTTTTGAGATCCGGCGGTTCTGGAGGAAGTCTCGGGCGCCGCGGCCTTCTCAAGGAACGGATGTATCCTCGTCCAGCATGTTTTTTTTGTTTCCCAATCATCATGTGAGTTGGGTCCTCCCTCGTTTTGAATTCGCAGCGCCGCGCTCCACTCCTCCTCCCCCCTTCTTCCCACGTCCTCCTCATCCTCTTCTTCCTTCTCCCCACCACCATGACCATCATCATCGCCATCATCATCCCCGCCACCATCACCACCACCATCATCGTCATCACCATCACAATCGCCACCACTATCAGCATCATTCTCGTTACGGTCTCGACGCACCCCTCACACGCTTCGTGACCCCATAGGGAGCTCCACCGAAAGCTTCAGTGGCAGGGCCCGCATGTGTATTCGGGTCTACTTTGGCACACCCCTCACACATTTCGTGGCCCCATAGGGAGCTCCACCGAAGGCTTCAGTGGCAAGGCCCGCGTGCGTATTCGGGTCCACTGTGGCACACCCCTCACACGCTTCGTGGCCCCACAAGGAACTCCACCAAAGGTCCCGGTGGCAGGGCCCGCGTGCGTACTCGGGCCATCTTTGGCACACCCCTCACACGCTTCGTGGCCTCATAGGGAGCTCCACCAAAAGTCCCGGTGGCAGGGCCCGCATGCGTACTCGGGCCATCTTTGGCACACCCCTCACACGCTTCGTGGCCTCATAGGGAGCTCCACCGAAGGCCTCAGTGGCAGGGCCCGCATGCGTACTCGGGTCCAGTTTGACACACCCCTCACACGCTTCGTGGCCCCATAGGGAGCTCCACCGAAAGTCTCAGTGCCAGGGCCCGCATGCGTACTCGGGTCCACCTTGGCACACCCCTCACACGTGCCGTAGCTCCATAGGGAGCTCCTCCGAAAGCCCCAGTGCCAGGGCCCGCATGCGTATTCCGGTTTACTTTGGCACACCCCTCACACGTTTCGTGGCCCCAGAAAGGGGGCTCCACCGAAGGCCCCAGTGGCAGGGCCCGCATGCGTACTCGGGTCAACTTTGGCACACGCCTCTCACGCTTCGTGGCCCCATAGGGAGCTCCACCGAAAGTCTCAGTGCCAGGGCCCGCATGCGTACTCGGGTCCACCTTGGCACACCCCTCACACGTGTCGTGGCCCCATAAGGAGCTCAACCGAAAGTCTCAGTGCCAGGGCCCGCATGCGTACTCGGGTCCACCTTGGCACACCCCTCACACGTGCCGTGGCCCCACAGGGAGCTCCACCGAAGGCCCCAGTGCCAGGGCCCGCATGCGTATTCGGGTTTACTTTGGCACACCCCTCACACGTGTCGTGGCCCCAAAAGGAGCTCCACCGAAGGCCCCAGTGGCAGGGCCCGCATGCGTATTCGGGTCCACTTTGGCACACCCCTCACACGTACCGTGGCCCCGTAGGGAGCTCCACCGAAGGCCCCAGTGGCAGGGCCCGCATGCGTACTCGGGTCCACTTTGGCACACCCCTCGCACGTTTTGTGGCTCCAATGGCAGTGCTCGCATTTTGACTCGTGTCCCTCCTTGCATGTCCTTTACGAGCATGGTGCAGGATCGCCCGCGCAGTCTAGCTCAGAGGTGAGGTCGCCCATCGGGCCCTCTGATCACTCAATGTTCATGACCACGAGCATGATGCACGATTACCGACGCGATTTTGCTCGGAGGTGAGGTTGCCCATCGGGCTCTCTGATCATTCCCGCTTCTTGACCAGCATGGCGCATGATCACCGACGCCCTCTGGCTCAGAGGTGAGGTTGCCCATCGGGCCCTCTGATCACTCCCGATTCGTGGCCACGAGCATGGCGCGGAATCGCCGACGCGGTTCGCTGATGATGATGATGATGATGATGATGATGATGATGATGGGTGATGATGATGATGATGATCATGCTTGCATGGCCGGCGCACAATCCAGCTCGGAGCAGAGAGAAGGAGCGGAGAGGAAAAATCGAGTGAGCGGCGAGGCGGGACGTCTGCCTGGCCTCAACCGCCACACGCATGTCTGCAATTGCTGGGGACACATACGTGCCTCGGAAAGAGTACGGAGGGACAAATCGAGTGAGCGGCGAGGCGGGTAGTCTGCCTGGCCTCAACCGCCACACGCATGTCTGCCATTGCTGGGGACACATACGTGCCTCGAGTCCTGTACGTCGCCAGGGTAATGTGTTTGTTTTATGTTTTTGTTGTTTCGTCCCCCCAGCAACGCGTGGAAGGAACAAACGACCGCAGCATGCTTCAGCATCAATAGCCACTTGAACGAAAATACGTATCGATGAAAAGCGGAGGAGTCGGGAGATGGCGCGGAACTGATGCAGAGGTAGGGCGAAACTGACGGGCATGGGACGCTGAGTTAGGGGGCCCCATGCAAACCCTACCCCCACCCCCCACGATTTCTGAGGGGGAGGGTGGGGTTCACTTCGCTCGGGAGCTCCCGAGCGGAGTGAACCCCACCCTCCCCCTCGAAAATCATGGGGGGTAGGGGTAGGGTTCGCATGTGGCCCCCTACAACCTGCGACGGGGCGGGCCCGCCGCGCAGCGCGCTGCCACTCGAGGAAGGAGAGGGGCAAGACATGGCCGCCAGGGCTCCGCAAATTGCGGGCCCATGCCGTGGCGGCGCCTACCTCACAGAAAATTAGTACAACATAGAAATAATATTCAGGATGATACAGCAATATTTTTAAACGATAGTGATTATTGAATAAAAGATACTATTACATAACACGCTGGCGTTGCTCGTGTAGTTCGCCGGGTCTTCCTCGGACAGCCCCAGCTTCTGGGCGGTATCCTGAAGTGAATAGCGAGGCTCGAAGATGTCTGCACTCGTCAGGTACTTCCTCTCGCCCCAGGTCCAGATTGTGTCATTGTCTGCGTCATGGTCGCAAGCTATGAGAGCCACTTGGTGGTTGCACATGCCTGAGAGGTTTCCACCATTAATTGGCCCCGCGTCGATGCCCAACAAGGCAACCTCGGAGGCGCAAGCATCGTAGAACATATCCTCTGTGAACGATGGGACGAGCAATATTTCTTGGGTAACCTGTGCCTCCTGGGGCATTGGGTCGTCGGGATGGATCTTCGGGTTGCGGATCGCAAGATCCCTGCAGGTATCGTCGTCGACGCTCGCACAAACCGCCTGCGGGTTGAAGAATTGGGTGCAACCCTTGCCAACAGGGTCGATGACAGCATTGAACAGCCATATGGTCTCGGGATCCATTTGGCCCTGGGGAGCACTCACAAGGGCATGCACCTCAGGACCCTGGCCGGGGTAGAACATCCCTGGCAAAGAGTTGAGGAATCCTGGAGTTACCCACTAATCAACGACTGGATCCACATCCCCGCCAAGCCGAAGGGGTTCAAAGGGTTGCCATACGCTGCCAGGCAATCTGCTGGGTTGCCCCCGCAAGTGCTGGAGTAATTCAGATTGAAATCGACTGCCTGCTTCGGACGCCATACTCCGTCATCTTGGTATGGAACCAGACCAGGGAACAGGTCGCTGAGGACGTAGTCGCAAGGAAAAATCAGCTGGGGCGTGGCTCTACCAGTCCAGGTGAGCCGCAGCGCCGTCTTGAGCGCCTTCGTAGGCGCCCTAACGGAGAGCATGCCCAGGGAGGAGATCCAGCCACAAGTGCCAATGCTCACCTGGTTCGGACTCTCCAGAAGTACGGAGCGGACAGCCTCGCAAACTCCACACATGACCAAGCCGTTCCCCTTGATGATATTAGCCGACGGAGGCATGCTCTCTTGAACGACGTTCGTCACAGCCCCCTCCTCCCAGGACGGGTAGTCGCCCCAATTGGACACGAGTTAGTTAGCGAAGTTGGGCCCCTCTGGAAACGTGTCTGTGAGCGTAACCGAGGCCTTGTAGGTGGCGACGAGTGCGTGGCAAGTGGATCGTCGGCGTACTCTGCGTCGCAGGCTCATTAAGATGTTCAGCAGTTATTGATCTCAACATGACCCGTTGGACTTGGCGTTGTCCCAGTTCGCGTTGGCGCATACAATTCACGACGGGTCCGCAAACACAGGACGCGCCAGCTGCGTGCCGAGGCCAGTGACGTTTGCGAAGGCCTCCTGGATCACCTTGTCCACAGACGCCTCGAAAGCCCGCAGGGCTTCCAGCCTGCTCGCGGGGCTGCTGCGCTCCAGTCTGCTCGCAGCGCCGCTGCGCAGCGCCAGGCAGCTCGCCTCGTCCGCGTCCTCCACCGGCGTAGACGCGGGGGCTGCAGCGAAGAGCAGCGCGAAAGGGCTCGGGCGAGATGTGGTTCACATCGCGGCGAACGTGCCAGCAGAACTGGAGGCGGCTGGAGAGCCGGGCACCTGGCCCAGAGCTCCCTTGGGCCAAAATGGCTACGGAGCCCCGTCCGGCATGGTGTTCCTCCGGCCGGAGATGTTCAGGATGTGGGGCACAGTACTGCCAGCTCTGCGGGAGCAGGAGGCAGCAGTTGAGAACACATAGGCTTTCTGGAAGGCCAAACTTGAAGGGGCCCTGGGGTACACAAATAAAGATACACAAATCACAAGATTCCCCATACTCTCTCATTCTTTCTGGGTTCTCGTCTTCCCCCCCCCTTCCCATATTTTCCGATATTTTCTGGTGAATCGACGATTACTTGTGTCTGTGTGCCTTGTTTCCCTCCTGAACAAAAGCTTTATGCAAGGCCAAACTGGATGCAGCGCGCCATCCTCGGAGGCTCGCCATCGGCCTCATCGATACTGCTGGTCAGTCCGAGGGTTATGTTGCTCCCATGGCACTTGAAGACCACATCCCAGAAATAATTTCGAGCACCCGGAAAAGTGCCGAAAGAGTCTCGAAAGAGTGTCGAAACAGTGTCGGGCGAGTGTCTCCCAGGGCCTGACACGTGAAAACCCTGGAGTTTCGGTACTTCTTCTGGTGCTCGAAATTCTTCCTGGTGATCAAGGCTACAGTAGGTTGGAACATCATGGGATCTGGATTGAACCGAAAGCCTCTACAGATGGAGGGGTGACTATGATTCGGTCGGGCACGTTCTCCTACAGGTGGATTTTTGAAGACAAAGAATTGAAACAAAATCAAATAATCATAGAAAACTCGTCCTCTGACTCATTCATGAGAATCCCTCCTGTAGGAGGACATGCCCGATTTCAGACTGTGACGAAGCGTACCGGCTCGAAGGGGATGGTGAGGCTGAGGCGTCAGCAGGGGTAAAGGTGTGGTGGGAAGGCAGCGCAACCCAATGCCGGGCTCACGGCGATGTTACTTGACGGTGACGTGTGAAACAAATTTGCAGGAAATCACGAACCACACTTCCTTACAATTCCAATCTGCGAAAGAATCGAACGAACATGACACAACGAGTGTCGGAAAACGCGAGCCACGCGTTCCCGCAATACCGAAACCTACATCGCCGTTACCTACATCGCCTTTAACTCGTCTACGGGCAACACGAGGCAGGAGGGAGACTTGAGCATAGCATTGATTGCACAATGATTAAATCACACCTACGCATGCTATGTTGAAAAGGCCTTTACGGCCATGCCACTGTCTTGAAACTTACTGCATCTATGGCAAAAAGTTCGGCGACTTCCTCAAGGATCGGAGGATTAACAACTCTGCCGGCGGTGTCAGGAGGCCCAAAGACCTTCTACACCAATGCTGGAGATGTTCGTGTAACTACGCTGTTGAGGGGTGTGCTCCACGGGACGACCTTTTGAAGGCAACCCAAGCTGGCGCGGAAATAACTACGGTGGCTAGTCCCTAGTAGGTTGCCGGTCGGAGAAGCGAATGCGCACTCAGCGCAGAAATAGTTCTAGAGGCAGAATCGTTGTCAGGACTGCGAAGTTCGTGACGTCGGTATGATAGCTCCTGGCCGCACCTTGACGGTGGCGACAGAAACGTCGGGGAGAGTTGGTGGGTCGCCTGCCAAAAGCATCAGGTCTTGGGATCTTTCTTTCAAGCGGCCTTGCAAGATGGAAGCATACTGTGCCGCGAGGAGAGCTGATGGCATGTGCGCGCATGGCAGAATTGGCAGCCAGGAGTCGACTTGCTGTTGTGGACTCCAAAGGACTCCGAACATGTGGCCAAAATTACAAGACCGTAACTTGGCGGCATCTCGTCGCATGCAGACTTGCAAAGGCTGCGGAAGAGGCTAACGGAACGCATGTGGACTTTCGTAAGGAAACGAACTTTATACACCGACGCTTTTCCGGCCGTGCACTAAGAATTGCATAGGAGAGCGGATCCTGGTGTATCATGGATCTTGGCGCATCCATCTTTGGTTGCTTTCCCCGGCAACGGATTAGAATAATCTGTTCCACACCACCCCGACGTCGTCCCCGATCGTCAAAAAGTCCTGGAATTGTAAAACAGCCCGCCAATGGTAATGTATTCAAATGGGGCCCGACCACAAGAAACCTTCCGCGAGAAACCCATCCTTGAGACCCCGAGAGGTCCATTGATTTTAGATTGGGAACGTCCCGCTTCCCATCGCAAAACCTCCCAGACCAAAAACAAACAGGGCACCCTGGAGGCAAGCAGGGTGCTGCTTGGCATGGGTCTCCACTGTATGTTCCCATTTCCGATTTCCCTCCTCAGATAATGGCATTTCACAAACGCGTGCACGAATAGGAACCCGCTGCAGAGGGCGTCTTGTCGTACTGGCAGCACGCCCCGCGGACGTGGCGGCCGAGGACCGGGCACGGAGAACCCAAATCCACTTCGCTGTCTGGCAGACGATCGGACATGCCGATGAGGAAGCATGGAAGGTTCAGTAGTGATAGTAGTCGTAGTAGTAGTAGTAGTAGTAGCAGTAGAAGAAGTAGTAGTAGTAGTCGTAGTAGTAGTAGTAGTAGTAGTAGTAGTAGTAGTGGTGGTAGTAGTAGTAGTAGTAGTAGTGGTAGTAGAATTAGTAGTAATAGTTGTAGTAGTAGTAGAAGTAGAAGTAGTAGTCGTCGTCGTCGTCGTCAACGTCGTCGTCGTCGTCGTTGTCAGCGTCTTCGTCGTCGTCATCGTCGTCGTCGTCATCGTCGTGGTCTTAGTAGTAGTAGTAGTAGTAGTAGTAGTAGCAGTAGTAGTAAAAAGAAAAACCTTAATAGTAGGAGTAGTAGTACGAGTCGTAAGAAGAGTCGTAATAATGGTGGTGGTAGTAGTAGTAGCAGTCGCACTAGTAGTCGTAATAGTGGTAGTAGTAGTAGTAGTAGTAGCAATAGTAGTAGGTGGTAGTAGTAGTCGTAGTAGTAGTAGTAGCAGCAGCACCAGTAGTAGTAGTAGTAGTAGTAGTAGTAGTATCACTGGTAGTAGAAGTAGTAGTAGTAGCAGTAGTAGTAATAGTATTAGTCGTGGTAGTGATAGTAGTAGTAAGAGTCGTAGTAGTAGTAGTAGTAGTAGTAGTAGCAGGAGTAGTCGTAGTAGCAGTAGTAGTCGAGGTAGCAGTAGGTCTAGCAATAGTAATGAGAGTAGTGGTAGCAATCGTAGTAGCATTCGTAGTAATAGTATTCGGAAGAGTCGTGCTAATCGTAGTCGTAGTAATAGTCGTAGTCGTATTAGTCGTCGTAGTCGTAGTTGTAGTAGTAGTCGTGGTAGTAGTCGTAGTAGTGATCGTAGTAGTAGTCGCCGTAGCAATAGTTGTAGTCGTAGTAGTAGGTAGTAGTAGTAGTAGTAGTAGTAGTAGTAGTAGTAGGAGTAGTAGTAGTAGTGGTAATAGTAATAATAGTAGTAGTAGTAGTAGTAGTAGTAGTAGTAGTATCAGTAGTAGTTGTTCTTGTCGCAATATCAGTGGCCGTTGTAAGTGATAGTGGAAGTAGTCGCATTAGTAGTAGTAGTAGTCATCGTAATATCCGTAGTAGTAGTAGTCGTGTCGTCGTAGTAGTAGTAGTAGTAGTAGTCGCAAAAGTTGTAGTAGTAGTAGTAGTAGTCGTAGTGGTCGTAGTAGTAGTAGCAGTAGTAGTAGCCGTAGAAGTTGTGTTAGTAGTAGTAGTAGTAGTAGTAGTGGTGGTGGTAGTGGCAGTAATAGTACTAGCCGTCGTAGTACCAATAGTAGTAGTAGCGGTCATAGTTGTAGTAGTAGTAGTAGTCGTAGTAGTAGTAGTAGTAGTAGTAAGTCGAAGTAGTAGTAGTAGTAGTAGTACTAGTAGTAGTGGAAGTAGTAGTAGTAGTGGAAGTAGTAGTACTAGTAGTAGTAGTAGTAGTCGCCGTAGTAGTGGTAAGAGTAATAGTAAGGGTAGTAGTAGAAGTAGCAGTAGTAGTAGTATGAGTAGTAGTGGGATGAATAGTCATAATAATAGTAGTAATAGCAGTGGTAATAGTAGTAATAGTAGTAACGGTAGCAGTAGTACTCGTAGTCGTAGCCGTAGTCGTAATACTAGTAGTAGTAGTCGTCGTAGTAGGAGCAGCAGTAGTAGTAGTAGTAGTAGTAGTAGTCGTAGTAGTAGTACCAGTAGTCGTAGTAGTAGCGGTCGTCGTCGTCGCCGTAGTCGTAGTCGTAGTAGTGGTCGTAGTAATCGTAGTAGTCGTAGAAGTAGTGGTAGTAGTAGGAGTAGTAGTAGTAGTAGTAGTAGTAGTAGTGGTAGTAGTAGTCTTCGTCGTCGTCAACGTCGTCGTCAACGTCGTCGTCGCCGTCGCCGTCGCCGTAGTAGTAGTAGTAGTAGTAGTAGTAGTAGTAGTAGTAGTCGTAGTGGTAGTAGTCGTAGTAGTAGTAGTAGTAGTAGAAATAGTAGTCGTAGTAGTAGTAGAAGTAGTAGTAGTAGTAGTAGGCGTAGTGGTA